TTGCACTTGTGTGACAACTAGCTCTAGCTGTAACTCTCTCATTCCTGTCAAACGTTGGCTTATGCAGAGTTCTTTGAATTGTAATTTTCTCTCTGTATGCATTGAAAGTGACCAGAGCTTCCAGCTTCTGGCTGCTTATCTCCAAATGCAGCTGTCAGGCGAAACTGGCTTTCTACTCGTAGTTTGGTCTTGCATCCTGGCAAAAGTTATTTTAGCTTCAATAAATATTTCAGGGCTCTGTAAACTTCATAAATATATTGCCCAAGAAGGTGCCTTGAAGCTGTATCGAATAAATCAAATTTGTGATTCTTACATGGCCATCACGAGAAGAGTATGAGTAGATATTCCCTATCTGGCTACCAATTAATTTTCATCACTTTCATTTCAGCAGAAATACCTAAGATTATTTCGTGGTTAAGTCCATCTGTGACCACTAACCTCTGGCCATAACGAATATCAATACCATTTCCGAACTGATGAAGCGCACTAGAAATTTATCAACACTTTTCATTTGACTTGGCTTCGCCTTGATAAAATGGAAATCCACAAGAGCGACAATCGAATAGAACCACTGAAGCAGGCTAATTTAATAAGTTAAGCCACAGCCACAATTTCTCGCCTTTGAACGTTACAACAACAATATTTTTCCAATTGAACTAACGAATATTTAATGAAAATCAACACTTCCGCTTTGCTGAGCGCAGAAGAACACACACACACACACACACAGACAATCAACTAATAACGGTAGCATCGTATTACATAACGAGCTCCAAATGCTCACCGCAGAATGTATGTACGAGTATATTTGCATATATATTTGGTGTTCTTCTCATCGTTGTCATTTCATTGCAGGAGTCGTACGTGCCACATTCGCCTCAAGTTGTCTGCACTCTGGCAGAGCCAGGGCTCACTGGATATCCCATTTCGTTGATAGTCATCCAAGGGCTTGGCTTGGCGAAATGTCTGATATCTTCAAAAACAAAGCAGACCGCGATCTCTCTCAATTTCGATCGCACTGGTCATGGGAGATGGGAAAAATATAGAAAGAAAGAGAGGAACCACGACCGCTAGCTATGTTCTAAGTGAGGCTCAATTTATTGCTGGAAATGGTTGCCCGGGCAGGAATGTCTATTTTATCATCGTGTCAACTAGTTGTACTGACATGACGGTCCATTTCCTAGAGCAACAAGCAAATTGTCATCCGTGGTCCGTGCCTCGTGCCACCCGCAAAAAGATACAAAAAATTACCATGAATTACTGTAATTCCACTTGTGCTGCGACTGGAATGCTGCCGGCTGGCCCTAAGCCATGGCCATTACATGGAAATGGGACATGTCAGTGGACATCGTCACTGAGAGGGGCCAGGCCAGGACATGTGTGCATGTTGGTCCGATCTCTGGCCAAGCGGTCACGTTCGCACTGTATGACCGGAACGTGCAATTTTTCTGTGGCACATGCGTCGAGGCGGGCGGCGGGAGGCCAGCAAAAGGAACGCAATAAGCACAAGTTTTATGCAATAAAATTAGCCCACTCTTACACACACACACGCACTGAGGAAGGACACGCAGGATGCTTCAGTTGCTGATAAGATAATTTTATTTGGATGTTATTGCATAAAGTCATGTGAGCGGCGGAAATGAGTTGAACTAACGGAAAGCGACTACGTGCCTCTCAGATCCGGCCGATGGGGCCAAAGGACGAGTCCCTTGGAGTCGAGCCGCAGTTGGATTTTAATAAGATAATTGGCTTGTTTGTAAATTGATGAATTTAAAGCTGAAGTTAAAGGTCGTCAGGGATCGTCCACATTGTACTCTCCGCTAATTATGTTCTGCGTCTCTTCATTTCAATGCTCCAAAGTGGGCCGACTACATAAACAAAAGCATCAAGCAGTTGTTTTGAAGTGACCTGCTGACCCTGCAACCTCAGGCACCTGCCATCATCGTGGCAGCCATTTGTGGCAGCCCCCCCTCCCCTCCCCAAACAAGAACCCCACACAAATTAGGCAGAAAAACCAGATTCTGCTGTGACTTGGCGCTGGCTTTATTGTCCGCTCAAGCGACACTAAATCGCTGGTACGAGTATGCCGATGGCAATGGCCTTTGTGAAGCATTCGATACTTTCTTTCCATTGGGGAGGGTCAGCAACATGATGGGGCTTGTATGTTTTCCAGTTTCACACTTAAAGAAGGCCGTCCGACAGAATGCACAGTCCACAATGGAAAAGCCTAGAAATCTCCTCATTTGAATACCGCTTTATTTGTGAAAGATCCATCTAGGAAGTCAAATGATACTGCATACCAACTAGGGTATTAGAGCTTCGTTCTCAGGACTTCACATTTTTTTGTGGCGAACGTTTTGCTGGAATTTAACAACTGACCGCACACACAAAAATATTTTTGCCACACCCGAGGCGACAACAAACCCACAACGATGGCGGAGGAACAACAGTCGAGGGAAGGCCTCAAGTGCCGCAAGAGCACTTAATACTAATTAGCTTTGCGCCTACGCCGTGACCTACGACCTGCCCTGGCAAGCGGGTGGCATTTCCGGCTACAGAGCCGCTTCCTGTGGCATGGATAGAGGGGGGCGGGGGACCTCTGCCTTGGCGGCATTGGCAATCTGTGCCGCGCTTAAGTGGCCGCAACACGCAGCAACATGAAAAGTCTGGGGCAAGGGTGGGTCAACAGCTTTGGGGCGTCATTTTTATGAGCTAATTAAGTTGTTAGACCTGATGAAAAACTCATTTCGGCGGAGGTCCATATCTAATTTGCATTAATTACGAGCTGGCGACAACAGGCCAATAAATGACGAATAAATGAGCAACACACTGCCTTACTTTCGGTTTTTGTCAAATGTCAAAAGTCAAAAGGCAAAAGGCTTTAAGCCACATTGCTGGACAATTAATAATCCTCAGCCTTTTGCTGCCTCTCCGTTTTGCCACCCAAATAATTGGCTGGCAATTTGCATTTATTGGCAGCTCCAAAAAAAAAACACACACACACACATAGAAAATAAAATAAGAGGGGCAACTTTCTGCCGCAAAGACTTGCAAGAATGTTTGTGCAACACTTTCAACACTTTCCATGTTGCATAGAATGTTGTCGTTCGTCTTGGCTAGTGCAAATTTGCACATAGTTTATAATTTGCTTAGCAACTTGGGGCTGGTCCTGCTTCTGGTCCTGGTCCAGAGCAATAGCAATTGAAATGAGAGCGCACAACTTTTTAATGGCCACCGGCTCGAGGAAGTTGCACAAGACGCTCCACAGATGGGTTGGCCAGGCCGAAAACTTTTCGAATTATGAATGAATGGCTAAGCACTTTTTATGGGCGTTGCACTGGAAGAACGACGACATCAATTCCTCGCCGTTTTCTAAAGGCGTCGTCTTAATCGGAAAAGTTTTCAATTTCGGAAAGATGTAAAGGGTTATCCTTCCCCCTTCCCACTTCCCTAAATGGCGTTTAGAGATTTCCATACGTACGGTCTACTTATTGTATTTCAAGTACAATGTGGATGTTGTAAAATCAACTTTAAAATAGTTTCAATTCGCATTTAGCGACTGATTTAGTTTTTCATATATTGGTCCAAAATCCAGTTAATGGAAATCAAAATCTATTCAAATAAATCCATCTGAAACCAGAGTTGATTTCCTAATCACAACAATCAGCTAAAAAAAATAGCAATCTGGAATCGGGACAATTAAATGCTCCCTGGGGTGCCATCGGCACATGGAGACTTTGATGAATAGCCATCAAAATTGTTGGCTGTCCCCTGGGGTGCCAGGGGGTGCCCACAATAAATGCCAATTTGTTATTTTTGCTCTTTTTTCACGGAAATTCCAGCCGAGTTTTGGCGAGTTTGGACAAACAAATTGAACAATGATTAATCATTATTGAGATGACATAATTATTTCGCCAGCCAGCAATCAAGTTTGAGCAGTGGCTGTTAATGAAATCGTTGACAGAAAAGAAATTCTCTCAGCTATACTCAACTCGTAATGATTGTGTAATGAATGTGCTGGCCAAAAGTTTCGACCGACCAACTTTGAGGAGCGGATAGGATCGGAGCCGAACAAAAGTGTTACCTTATTGAGCTGCTCAGCGCGGACTCTGGTGTCGCTGTCGTGATAAATTATGTTAATAATGTTGAGTAGGCAACTTGGCTGAAAGTTGAAAGCTACAAAAGTTTTTGCCAGAGCGGGCTCATGGCTCATCCCTTGTCAAGAATCAGGCCACGTCCCAGAGCCGCACTTGCTATGCTGCCGCCCCGTTTCGACCATTTTTCGACCATAATATTGTGTGCATATCATATTGAGTGGGTCGCCCTAAGTAGTTGGCCACACTTTCTGGCCAGCAAACTCGCATACTTTATTAATTCACTTAGCAAAGTGTAATCCTATCACGTCAATAAGATTATGGTTTTCAGAATCTTTAATATTTTTCCTCTTGCCAGCCAGGGCACCCATCTCCATCTCCGTCTCCTTCTCCATCTCCACCCCATCGCCCATTGGCACTTGTTGTTGCTGTTTATGGAAATCAGAACCCTCAACTTGGCTTTGGCTTTCCCAGTTGGCGTCATGCATAACAATGACTTACTTTTCCGAGGCATCGTCCTCCTCCTGGAGGAGCGTCGCTTTTTAATATGTGAGGAGCGCTCATTTTTATTTAACTAGATTGTGCTGTGGTGGTTTTTGTTGGTGTTTTGGCTCTGGCAGCTTGCTTTTATGATTATTAAAATGTTACATATGTTATGCCAGGTCTCCTAGTTCCTGAGCCCAGCTTTATTTTGGCAGATTCAATTGATTTTTAACAATGGTAATTTCCAATAGAATTGTCCATTGATTCTATACAGATTCTTTAGATTCATTCCTACATAAATCGATCGATCTACCCGTGTAGGGTATACAAAGCCCAACTCTACGTCAGTATAGCCTTTCGATTCCAGTCAAAGCCAAATGATCGAAACAACATTCTCAAATATTTTTATATAACGCTATCATACCAACGTGATCCACAACTATCTCGGGACTCGGCCTTGCAAGAATCATGGAACTTTCTGAAAGTTCTGAGGAGGAGGATGCGGAGGACGCGTGCCCATCAAAATCGTCGTCTGGAGGGGGCTGTGGGAATATTTGCGAATGTACGGATGAACGTTGCTGCCTTTGCCGCCTGTTCGATAAAGGCGACTACGACGACATCGGGAATGTGCCCTTCTTCGGTGTTATCCCGACAGACGTGGAGGGCAGCCCTTTTCTGGATGCAACAATTCGCCAGGAATTTCACTGCAATCGCTGTGGCACGATCCCAGTCGGTCGGATCTATCAGTGCCACAAAGGCCACCTCATCTGTGAAGGCTGCCATCAGGTGCAGGTGCTGGACAAGATGCTGTTCCAAGCGCTTGGCACCTGTCCGAAGTGCAGTGCCCGGATGTACCGTCACGCGCCCAACCGGAACATCATCGCTGAGCGAATCCTATCCGAGATGAAAATGACCTGCGAGTATTGCGGGGCCAAGATGGTGCGTGCCGCCCTCCGATCGCACTTCCATAGCGAGTGCCAAGGGCGCCTGGTGAGCTGCAAGTACAAGCGCATTGGATGCCCCTGGTACGGTCCAGCCTCAGAGATCGCCGCACATGATGAGACGTGTGAGTTTCCAGGGAAAACGGGGGCCGAGTTGATGGAGTACCTCCGTCCAATACAGGCCGAACGAGATGCACGGCTACAGATACTCGCCAAGATCGAGGATACGCTGTTGCGATCACAATTGACCGTGCGCCTGTTGCACGTCCTGCCTCAAGGACCTATTCGCAAGTTTCCACACAACGAGTTCGTCTTGGTGAATGAGTTCCGAACCCACTTCATGAAATGGTCGCTGCTCATCATGTGGCAGAGTCCAGCTGCCGACGATGATCATCCGCAGCCCATGGGCTCGCTCCACTTCCGATTAAAAATCGAACGGCCGGAGAACTCGTCTTCCAGTCTGGTGTTTACCTATGCTCTGGTCCACGGCAGCCACTCCGAGGTAGCCTTTCTGCCGAACCTCTGCGACCGTATCGAGTTCTCCAGCAACCAGTTGCTGGGACCGCCAGTTATGATCTATCGCCACACCATGTCGCATTGCAAGAAGCTTCTGATCGACCGGGGAATCTACGCTCGTCTCCTGATCACCCGTCACGATTCGAGGTTGCCATTGTGAAATTTCATCAAGTTTTAATATTCATCCATCCATCCACATCCCGAACAAGCATCCCCAAATGGAAACATCACTAGTCTGTACAATCATCATGAGATCAATCATCACACAGTTAAATTTGATTTATCACTCGGATCGCTACTCTACTGCTCATGTATGTATTGCTCTAAGATCTACGAAAGATTTACTTAATATTCCATACATCTATTCCACATATACTTTAGCTGGAGCAGAGCTTCAATCATTTTGATTGAGGTAAACACAATTTGTATTTTAGAGGTAGAGCTTGCAGCGCTCCCAGAGAGGAAGAAACATAATCGCACAGGAGATCTGCCCGTTCCGTTCCGTTCCCGTCCTTGGAGCACTTCGAATTGGTCACATTGCCGGGCTGTTTACAGTGAAGCATCGTTAAGACAACAATGCGAGTGCATGCCGGAGAAACCAAAAGCAATTACGCCGTCTTGTTGACCAGAAACGACTAGAAAAACAGAAAAGCAGCCGAACCAGGATGGATTGGGGGAGATGAGATGGGACAGAGCGGGACAGAGAGCAAAAACATGTACATGTCCGGTGCAATAAACATTCATTACGAATGGGCCAAAGTGCCACAAACAGAGAAGGATACGGATACGTATACGGACAGCCAGCTTGCTGAAAAGAAAGCGACCATATAGTATACTCGTAGTTGGGCTGGCCTTAGTTTTTATGGCACAGCTGCCACTGGCAAGCAGACAGCCAGGAAATCAAAGCAGGGCACAGGACACAGGACACAGGACACACACAGGCGCGTAGGAGTAGCAGAGGAATACTTTGCTCCGGAATTGAACAATAAAATAAATGATATTTGCCCAAGTAGCCGGGCTTCGCTTTTAAATTCAATAAAATTTTATGAAAATGCTGCGATTAAGTTGTATATACCCTGGCACATATGTGTGAAAGGATCAGAGGGAAGCTGGCAGCAAAAAAAAAGGTCAAGGCATGTCGAAATGAGATTGACTTTTACGACAACGGTCCGAGATCGAAGCGTGCCGTGGAACAAAAAACTATATAATCAGTGCCTCAAGTGCAACAGCTGCTGCAACAATCCAAGCAATCCAAGAAAAACGCCAGCCAGCCATTTATTTATTTTCGACCAAACAGCCTTCCAAACCGTTCACCAGGAAAAAGCAGCTCATTTCAATTCCCCAGCAAAAACGAGATAAATAATTCCTGCGGAACAATGCTTCTTTATATAAGTGGAAGCATTTCATTTTGATTTCTCTTTTGAAAACAAAACTATTTGCTCACGTTCCCAAATTGGGAAAAGTTCACTCAAGGATTTTGCATTTCAAAGAAAGACAGCAAAGGATATTTTTTTGAATTACTACAAATATCTTTAACATTTATCTGCCGCAAAGGTTTTTTGGATTGCCTGTTTCCAAGATTTGTTTCTATTATTTGATACAAGGATGGAACTTTATTTGATATCCACTAAATTAACGTAACTCCTCTTCGATGGGATTCTTTTTTCGGCGAAAAGAAATTGTTTCTGTTTTCCAGAATAATATTTCAGTCGTTTCTTTTGCACTTATTTCCGTATTCAAGTGTGCGTTTTCTTCATTTGAAATTTTAATTAAAAATACTTTTATTTATCGTATTTATTTGTATTTTTCCACCTCAGTTCTCCCGGGTTTTCCCTCGCTCGCTTGGTTTTTTGTTGAGTTTTTTTTTGCCGCTTCGAAACGCGTGTGACAAATGCGTGGCCATAACTTTCTGCAGTGGCATGTGTGACATTTATTACAACATTTTTAAGGTGCTGCCTGCTGGCAGGACAGCAGGAGTGGCAGAAGTGGCAGGGGAGTGCTCGCTAATAAATTAGCTACCATTTCAAGCGCAGAGCAAATTGGCATTGGAGCCCACATATGCTGGGTGTCTGAAAGGATGCGGCTGATGCCAAATAAATCATACTTCTCACAAATAATGTGGCATTGCTTTGGACATTCATTAAATGTGCTGCACCGCAAAACCCACCAGCTAGAGGTGGCAATTCAATTTTAATTAAATTTCCAGTAGCCACAAGAACTAGGAAATGCTCGGCATTCGGGATTTATTTGATATAATAAATGAAGATGTTGAGCCAAATGGATGTGTTTAATATTCTGATAATTGCAGCTTTGATGGCAAGTATTTTAATTGGGTTTCCGCCTCAAAGATGTAATAAACCGATATACAATGCTACATACATATGCACTTTTAATCCTCCAAAAATAATTGAATAGTATCCATTTCTAGCTTGTAGCTGGTCTGATGCTTACATCATTAACTCACATTTACTTTGACCTACTGGCATGCTGGTAGTAGGAGCTGCCGCCTTTTAAATTACGTTGAAATTAAAGCTTGTGGCCCATAAGCATTTTGCAAGCAATTAGAAGGGCAACCAACACATAAACAGGAACAAAACAGCACACAGATACATGCACACGCAACATATGTACATATGTGTGTGTGTTTCAGTGGAGAGCATCATATGCTCCTCAGTATCGCATCCGGTATAGACCGAGCATTACAAATGATGCCGCCCCACACTCCACCGAAAATGGCCCGCAGCGTAAATTACGCGTATAAAATGAACATTAGATTCATATTTTAATGTGTGGGTGAGGGCTGTACAGACACCCTCACTCGCACACAGTCGCACATTACTCACACACACAAGAGAACATAAATAAAAGCAGGGAATTCCACACAGAGAATTCCCTTCTCTTCCTCTTTCTTGGCGAATGCCAACGCCAGAGACGCTGAAAAAAGGTTATGCCAAATAACCTGCAGCTATGACAAACACAAATACAAACAGACACACACACACACACAACTGAATGTCCTTGCGCGTGTGTGTGTGTGTGTGCGTGCGTACTTATTTCCATTACAAATGAGCTTATTATGCGCTCAAGTCACAAAGTCATTGCGACTTAAAAGGATTTGCATGTGATTAGCAGCCCGAAATGTAAGCAAAAGAAAGTCCTGCGCCAAAAGACAAAAACAACCAGAGGCAATAAACAGGAAGCAAGTCGACTAGTTGATACCACTTATCCGACTTATCCACTGCTACTGAAACTGAAAAGTATAATAGCATACATTTTCCATGAAGGGGCTTTTTTGGAAATGTATCGATATGTTTTAGAAAATAGCTTATGGATTAAATATTTGTATACTTGTATTTCAGTATAAGCGGAGATTGTGTGGGTCAAGGAGGATCTCCAAGCAATCAGCAGGTAGGTACTATATACCCTACAAGGGGAGGGTGCAAAGAACAAAAGCCAAGGACGATTTGTAAGTACTTCCCAAGGAACCACGTGCGTACGAGGGTGTGCGTGCAAGTGAGTGTATTTATGGTTGTATTTGGAAAATTGCCGAGAGCCGAAAGACGACAGCCGGAAAGAGGGCAGCATAAAAACAATGAACACATCATAATCATAATTCTTGTAGGCTAATTTCGGGGGCAAGTGAGTGACTGGCGAAATGTGGTGCATAATTTGGTTAGCTCTTTATTCTCGAATGCATTAAATGGGAAACAGACGGCTTGGCGGCAGGCTCTAGCTGGGATCTGGCCTTGGCCCAAGCTACGGGAATGGGAATAGACATTCAAATCGATAGACTCGACACTGACAGCAGGCAGAAGCAGAGAGGCCAGTGCGGGCCAGTGGAGGCCAGAGGTAGAGGAGGGCAGAAACTGGCACCAAGGATGAGGCTAAGGCTGAAGCAGTGTCTTTGCGCTTCGATTACCTTGCATAATGGGCGACGTCTTCTTTTGCATAAGCGCTGAAAATTTGCACAAAAGAAGAGGGCAAATAGAAAAGCACTTATTCGTTTTAGCAGCAACTGCTGAAGTGGCAGTGGGAGAACGAGGTGGCGAAGGCGCAGGCGAAGGCGAAGGCGACTGTCAAGGCTATGTAATTGAAGCTGACTTGAAAGTGTTGCTTAAGCCAGAGCAACGCGGGCAAAAGTGGGCAAAGAAGAGAGTTGGCCCGGACGAGGCAAATATCGATTATCTGACGGGAGAAAAGGCTTCGGCTGAATAAAATATGCATTTCTTTTGGGCCATGTTTTCAATCAAATTCTGCATTACTCTTCGAGGCTTAAGCCGTCCGGGCAGCTACAAAAATGCTTTCTAAATAGATATTGCATACGAAAATGTCGGTATGTGTTTATCTACGGAATTATAATGACGTCAAATGGAAGCAATGACTTGCACTCGGGATGCCCACTCCCGCAGCCCCTCCCCGCAGGAGGACTAGCAAACAAGTCAAGAGTGAAAGACCAAGGAAATGCAGAGAAACGAATTATGCCAGACAGAGCATGAATGGCCCGAAAGAGCGACTGGATCTGGATCGGATCTGGGGCCATTGAAATAGAACTTGGCACAAAAGGCTAGACCTGAAGTTTAGCTAAAAGCCAGATAAATAAATAAATAAACATACAATAAGAGGACGAGTACGGCTATAGGAAAAAAGGAGATTTGTTGGATAAAATGGTTGTGCATAAAATAAAATAAATCTCAATTCAAATAGAGGTGAACGGCAGACAACAATGAGCAATGATGAGGCAGAAACACGCATAAGTGGGTTCCCAGTGCAGGACTTCATTTGCGAGCACTTGGCCAAGTTTAAGCATCACACACACACAAGCACACATATGCCACGTTTCGGCTTAGACTTGCAGAGCTGTTAGCTTTAAAACTTGCTAAACATATGAGGGAAGAGAGAGAGAGTGAAGGACCTGAAATTAAGGATGTATGGCACGTGTTCTGAGCCCGCTGGCTATTAAGCGACACTCCAGAGGGAGGCAGGAGAGGCAGGGACTGGGATAAGATTGAGAGAGCGAGTAAACTGTGCATAAAACTCAATCAAGTCGAGACAACAGCCAGCACACATCAATGGCCTTTACAAACCCGAGTGTTCGCCATCTTGCCTGCCTGCCATTGTCCCTGCAGGCATGTCAGGCTCTAATGCAAGCCCTGACACGCTCCCATCCCTCCCCTCCACCCAAATGCACCTCACCGGCTGCTTATAAAACTGGAAGCACCGTGTAAGACAATGGCCCCAGCCAGAAACCATTGTTTTGGCAACAAGGCAACACAAAAAAAACCCTGCTGCTTTCTCTCACACTCTCTCCATATCCTCGTTTGCCCTTTTGCTGCTCGGGGCCCCTGTGAAAGGCACCGGGTGAAAGTCAAATAACTTAAGCAAATGTGCGAGGGCCCAAAGAGTGAGGTCCCGCCCGGGCCAACTGTCAGAGCATGGCCCGAAGCAAGTGTCGTCCCTCGTTGCAAGCGACTTAGTCTGGGATCTAGGAATGGGATTCGAATTCGGACTGGGACTGGGACTGAGACCCTGCGCTCGCTTTTGCTCTTTTCTTTTAGATCCTATATCGGAATGAATCGAAATGCATGTATTTATTTATTTCCTCCCTCAGATAGGCGCACATCAAATAATTCTCGGTATTACCCGAACCTAATAAGCCACAGTCATCCCTCGACCTGGCCATAGACAAGAAGGACTTCTAGACTCTAGATAGATCTCGCTGTTGTTAGGTTTAAGATAGTGGAGAGTGGAGTGGAGTGGAGAAGTGAAGATCACCTGAGAAGAGGGAAATTCAGTCTGAATTTGGACACAGAAACAGACAGTCTGGGCTGGCTGAGGAAATTCAAGCGCACGATGTGCCGCTCTATATAAATCAGGCTACGATACATGTATTTCGAGTCGTAGTATTCAAAAATATCGGGAGACGGACGAGGATTCCCCACTCAATCAGCAATTCGAGGCGGTCGTAGAGCTTCATCATGCTTCTGATTTGTTGCACAGCTGCTGGTCCCTCCCATTGGTTCAAATGGGCGAAAAGTAGGCATTAGGTGGCATTCCTCGTATGCTGTGTAAATTGGAACGGAATGGAAGCAACCTTCCACTTTCAATTGTCATCATGACCGCCTTTCCTAGACCATGAAACTGCTGGCGAATCGTCTAAATAGTGGGTGGATGAGGACAATGCAGCTCATCTGTGCAGGAGGAGGTGAGGATGTCCAGTCCAATCCCAGCCAGTGGGTCATGCGAGCTCCCCTTTGTCGACTGCTGTGGCAAATCCTTTGTTCACATACTAAGCGCTTTTTAATTAGTTTTGCAAGTACGGTCATCCAGGAACCCTGCAAATCAGAACCGAGGGTCTACCAATAAATTCCGGAACATTGCCCTGCTTGAACTCATGAAACCCAACTGATTCCTGATTCCTAAAAACGTTTATTCTTGAATCTCCAAGCCTTCATTTAAAGCTTAGCTGATTTTCAGTTAAAGAAGCGCAGCTGCTATTTTCGGCCAAATAATAAACCCTTGTAAATCATTTCAACGAATGCTGGCCACGTGATTTCCACCCGCACGTGATGCACCTCCTCCCCCTCCTCCTCCAGCAACATCTGCCGAAGCAGAAATTATTGGCAAAGCGTTTAAGCGCAATAAATATGTTTGATTGCTGGCAAGTTGCCCAAAAGATATACAAAGATAAATATATACATTCTCAGGACTGGGGCATGGGCCGAGCGAAGAGCAGAAATCGTTGGCTTAAAGCCTCCTGCGATCACAGCCGAATCCTGGCAGAGCGCAAATTTGTTATTCATTTAAACGCGCTAGTAAATCGCTGCAAGCTGTTTGCTCTGCAATTTTTAATAGCCGCTGATTGTACTGTACGTACAATACACTGAGACAAATTTGGCTGAAAACTATAAACCATAGCCTCGTCCATAGTCTAAGTCTGAGAATTTTCCTTTGATAAAGTCCATATGCTAAGAAGGTAATTCCGTGGGAATATTCGCTAGTGAACTTAAAACTTATTCATTTATTTTTTTGTCAGTGCTCTTTGCGGAGTCGCTCTATGCGCTGCCCCGGAAACTTCACGGATGGGATCCTAGCTGAATTACCAACACAGCCAGTGGGCCACGGGCCAGGGCCAGGGCCACGGACAACGTTCGAGTAAATCAAACAACGAAAGCGCAACTAAAACGCTTTTGTGCACAATTCGATTATTTACGTTTATTCTTTTTAAATGATATTTCCTTTCCCCGTCTGGCCAACGGGTTGGCGGGTTAGCGGGTTAGCGCAAAACGGAGACTTGAGACGGGGCGAGGCGAAGGAGAAACCAATTATTTGCGGACGGAGCCGGAACATGAGGAGGTGGAGGAGCAGCAGGAGCTGTAGCAGGAGCTGGAGCAAAACTGCCGGAGGGCAAGCAATTTGTAAGGAAATGAAGCGTAAGCAGAGAGGAAACGGAAAATATGCTGCAGTTGAAAGGCAGAGCCAGGGCCAGGTCCAGAGCCAGATCCAGAGCCAGAGCCACAGCCACAGCCAGAGCGGCAAACAAAAGATCAAATTAATGGCATCAAAGTATCGAGACATCGATGCGGGGCTGAAACATCAAACACAGCTGAGCAGCCAGGGGAGTGGGTGGAGTGGGTGGAGTGGGTGGAGTGGGTAGAGCGGCTGGCTAATGAGGAGAAAGGTGCTGTTGCAATGAGCAAACATTTGAACAGATGCATAGGAAATGTTCTTCATTTCAAAAAGCGAAGACAATGGTACATAGAATGCAGAAATTAAGAGAGTATAAAACCCAGCAGGCGGCTCATCGAAAGCATCACAACCACTTCCGGAGTTCCACAAGCAACAATTTGTAGACTCTCAGCATGTCAGCCAAGTACGCCCTAATCTTTGCCCTCGCGGCACTCTGCTGCCTGGTGGCCACCACAGAGGCAGCGGCCCAGCGTAGCCGGGTGCTCAGCGCTCGTCGCGGCTCCGAGCTGGTCGAGAGGACAGAAGGCAAGGAGGAGACCGAGGTGGCAGCACAGGAGCAGGAGCAGGAAGAGCAGCAGCAGCCTGAGGATGGTAACCAGCTGGAAGGCCGCAGCGAAGACGATGTGGCCCAGGCTGAGAACAAGCTGGAAACCACCGACAAGGAAAAGGACACTATTGTGCGCCCCAACAAGGACGACGCCCGTGCCCGGCGCGTTGTTCGTGCCGGCCGCCGTCGTGGTGGACGTCGCGGCGGTCGCCGTGGTGGTCGTCGCGGTGGACGCCGTGGTGGTCGTCGCGGTGGACGCAGGCGCGGTGGTCGTCGTGGCTCTCGTGCTGGAGCCCGCCGCCGCAAGTCCGTGAAGAGGCGTTCCGGCAAGGGCAACCGAGGATAAGGACTTCCTTCCGAGGCCTACAAATGCTCCGACACGATCTGGATTTTTCATTAATGACATGCCGATATACCAAAGAATAAATATATAATTTCAAATGAAGTCCCAGATCATGATATCCTCTAGGCCTAACATCATCTCTGCTATCTGAAGATCACACTTTGGATCACCGTACATCGATCTAAACCATAATTACAATCATTTTAAGTATTCAACGCGACCCAATTGTGCTTTAAAGACCTTTGGCATCACTCCCAAAAACTTTTCAACGGCCCCAAAAAACAGCAAAATGGCAAGAAGGAGGAGGAAAATGTCATGCCTGTTTCACATTCTTTGTCCCATTCAGGCCCCATGGTTTCACAGTGGAGCAGGCGACGTGACATGTGACAAGAAGTTGCCGCGGCAGCATTGCTGCAACAGCTGCTGTCGCATGCTGCCTCTTCCTTTGGACTGTGCCACAGCTCCGAAAATGATGAATGTGCCAATGGTCCTGGGTCTCCGGGTCTAGGGGTCTCGGAGCCTCGGCCAGCCTGTCCCCGTACTACACTTTGCCAAACTTCTTGGGCACTGAGCTGTAGTCGAGGCAAAAGTTTTGTGGCATTCAAGTTTTGTAACCATTTTGGATTTTTAGACAGCATTTGGTGCAACATGAGGAATACTCTCGACTGCAACAACTCCGTGCTGAGCAGCAGAGCAACAGAGCAACAGAGCAGCAGAGTTTGTTGTAGTGTAGATGGCCCTAAATGTTAAATGAGTTTGTCAGGCGGCACACATTAAGCCGCAAATAGTTTGTGGCCTGCAGGAAATTAAACCCATGTGCATGAAGAAGCCCCAACAGCAGCCACGTCAGTCACACGAAACATTTTGATGTGAATTTTCCATTGTCCAGCCGATGCTGGAGCTGGAGTGTTACAGGGGAACCCCAATCATAATGAGCTTTGAAGTGAATTCATTGGATCATTGGCCTTCTCTTAGCGTTTCATTAAGCCGAGCAGTGTGCAGTGTGGAGTGTGCAGTGTGCAGTGGGAGTTTTGTAATTTCCTATTCATCTGAAACATGTGTCTGCCAGCATCGGCATTCCGGCAGCGGCACTGGGACTGGGTCTGAGATGGGGACAAAAACTCTGTCCCGCCCTTTGTCTGCGTCTGCGTCTGCGTTTATTCAACAAACAATAGATGGCCATTGTTTGGCTTTTAGCTGTAACAAAAGCCAAAAGAGCCAAACAATTTAGATAGGACAATAAGCCAAGAGGAAATTAAATTGGCGGCTCCAGTTTACACATTTATCTCGTCCTCGAAGGCACCCCCGGAGGAAGGCTATTCGAAAATAAATTTAATTGAATTATCAAATGCATGGCGGCATAATTATTATTATTATTTGTCAACGGACCGCTCATATTTATAATCTTCTTACGGCACATCATATGAGAACAATAGATATTTAAACAGCAGCTGACTACATTTTCTGGATAGTCTTACGGAGCCATCTGTGATGTCTTTGGCCTACCTTTGGTACACATTCATTCATACAAAACTTTGGTTCGAGCGTCAAGATTTTATAAAAATATGAGGCTGCCACGAAAGGGGAACATGGAAAAATATTCAATAACTTCTGTGCCCGAACTTAATGCAATTCCTCGGAACAAGATGAAAAATAAAAATCTGTTATTCAGATTGAGTTGCCTTGCCACGTTTAACATGCCACAAAGAAAAACCTCCAAGCCTTCGAAAACGCATATTTGCAGTTTTCTTTTGCCTTTTTCTTTTTTTCGTTTTTGTTTTGTTAATATACTCGAATGTTTTTCTTTTTCGAGCCGATTTTTTACTTTTGCCGACAACAACAACAGCAACGACAGAACAAATATTCGTATAAGAGAGGCAGAAAGAAAGAAAAATGGAAAAATCACACGACGATTTTCAATTGAGCGGCGGAAATGTAACGGAAATAAATTTACATAAATACAATATGGTGCGTGCTTGTTGGCGCCATTTTATTTGCACAATGTACATATATGTGCATATGGATGTGTATGTGTATGTGTGTGCATATGTGCGCAGAGGGGCTGAACATATTTGCACAGAAGTGCGTATTGATTTGTGGCATATGCAGCATGTGGACTGCTTTCCTCTCTTCGTTTCAGGGAAACAAAAATGCTTCGATTTTAAAATGTTCCTTTGGCCGTGCTCTGTCTTGTCTTTGGCTCCTTCGTGCCCACTTTACTTAATGCCAGCAAATATTTCCACCATTTCGTGACCAAATTTCAGGGTGCACTATCTCGTGGATAAAAATGCGAGCAGTGCACACACCTGCCTATCTTTTGTGGAGGGGCTTAGCTGACACTCGATTGGGGGCGCCATGCGGCCTGCACTATTTGCATAAGATAAAAGATGAGGAACAGTCCCAGTCCCAGTCCCTGTCCCTGTCCTGGCTGAGCTAAAGCGAGCGGCTTCGCCAAGTTCTTACCAGCAAAAAGGTCCTAAATGTATTTCCTATAAAAGCCAAGCAAAAACACAGAGACCCCCCACAGAGAGGGCGAGCAAATACACAGCGTCAACGACGATGGCGATGCTGATAAAGACAACACATACTGGAAACGGGGGAGAGGAGGCCAGCAAGAAGCAACCCCGGGAACGTGGCCGCTGTCGCCATTTTGTAGCACTTGCAACTTATATGCATATGTGGTCGAAGAGCCAAGCCAAGCCAGCCCAAGGAGAGCCGCAAAAGGAACAAACCGAAGACTGTTGGTGGTCTACAGCAACGTGCACTGAAATTACATTTTCCGTGCACGAATATTCCCCACAACCGCCTGCACGAAAATGCGCCAAGATTTTTTCGCTGCTAGCTGCTACATCGTTGTTTTTCCTCGAACAGGAATGGCGTGCAGGCGTTGGGGACTTTTCCCTTGTTTCCTACAGAATCGACTTCGTATCACAGTGGGCTAAAATAGATCTACATATATGCAGGCGAACATGAACTCTTTAGATATCACATTCTGTCATTAAACTGAATAATAATTTTGATGGTTTTGAGACCTCCAAGTTTTGGGGAAACCTTTTTTGCCAACCCTTTTCGGACCCACTGTGGACTGTTAGTTTAAATGGCATAGAAATCGGTTTTACTGCTCGTACGTTTGGCATATTTTACAAATGCATTTGACATAAATTTTAAAGGGCTTAAGTGCCGAAGCCGAATCTGAAGCCCTTGCAGGCGGCAGGCCCTGTGCCACCCTGCTCATGATAAGAAGATGCCTGCACCGCCATGTGGCGAGTGGCAAAGCGGTACAGCGGAGGCCCTTAAATCTTTGTTGGGTGAGGACATAAAATAGAGCAATTACAGCAAAGATCATAAATTATGCAAAGCCCGGCAACAAGTGTGCGATAAGCCCAGAAACGGGGGCTGTGGGCCAGAGGCGGAGCAGGACTTGAGAGCTGAAGAAAGGATGCGATGAAGTGGGTTTGTCTGACAATCATCACTCACGGTCGGAGCTCGGGACACATCGCGGATTGAAATAATACGGAGAGTGTCTTCCACTCCGGCATCCGTTTGCCATTTCTACATATGCGCCGGGCAGGGCAGAGCGAGCTCGACACTCTAAGTACTCGTACTGAGTGCATGTCGTTTATCAACTGTCAGTGAAATGCATTTCAACAATGCGAGTGCGCTGCTACCCTGCTCAGGCACCTCTCGCCAGTCCCGTCAGTGCCGCCATTGCCGCCATTCCCGCCAGTGACAGTGGCAGTGACATGCAAATCGGGTTTTCTTCCTGTCAAGGCATTAAGTGTGTGCGATTTTCTTTCAACAAGACAATTTAACAGAAAAAATTCATGCTCGACAGCTTGCCAATGCGTGTGCGGCTCACTGAAAGGAGCCACGCTCGGAAGGAGCTCGGAAGGATGTGGCGATGGAGGGCATCGCAATTGCAGTTATGAATAAATACAGATAGGAACTTGATTCTTCCTCTCCGCACTTTCAGGCTTGCCGCATAAGTGCCACCGTTGGCCACACACCCGTACACCCGCACACTCCCACCGCCTCCACACTTCTTCTAGGCCCGCTCGGCCCCGCCACCCCCACGCCTTTAACCGCATTTCGCCCACCCTTTGGCGTGTGGTGGGGCGTGCTATCGCTGGATTTGCATGCCTGCACAAGCCATAAATGTCAATTGGTATGGCAAACGGAAGGCACGGGGCACAGGGCACGGGGCTTAGGGCGGGGTGCGAGACCGTAAATGGCGAGGAAATGAAAGGCGGCACACATCTGGTGTCATAATTATAGATGGATATCGCTTCACTTAACCGGTAAGGAGATCCACTCAAACAACTACTCATGGATGTGGGAATAAAATGCTTTCTAGCGAGGAATCGTTACAACAAATTGCATTGGGCTATTTGATATGGAAAATTGGGCATTCAGTGCTTTCAGATCTATGCATCTATCTACATCTGTCTATGTTTATATCTATGGCCCGATTTAAGACTACATTACATACTTAAGCGGTACTGGGAGCATCTATGATGGCAAAGAAATCGTTGATTTCTACGATTTTGGATTTCCCATTGCCCCACTCTATGATATGTAAATTTGTGTGCTCCTTCTCACCGAAGAAGTACCTTCTTGGGCTCACACACAAAGTGAGGCAGTGGCAGGGGCAGGGGCATGAACTGATTTAAATGCTAAAGTGAACGATTATCATTTCGATTTTGTATAAATAGCACATGAATAATTCATTGGCACTTACTTATGCGCCATCAAAGTGACTTAGGGGTGGCTGCTACTGCTACTGCTGTGGATGTCCCTCCCATCTCCATCGCCACCCCAACCGATATGACAATATGATGGAGAGCTGGCTTATTGGTTCCAAGTCGCAGATACAATATTTGTCGCCGACATTAACACCAGCAGTCGTTTAGATATCATAGTTTGATAAAGTCAACTTTTCGAATTAAAGTAATTTCCTGTTGTTCAACTTTTCCCCACATACTCTCCGCCACTACTCGAAACAG